CAAATTCTCCCCCCATTGTGCAAAAGGGGTTAAAATCCCCTTCTGTCGCTTACCTGAGTCCAGCGTCGTTGTCCCTCGACGCTAGTTCGGGCTCTGTATTCAATCCTTCCCCGCCATCATCAGCCAGTAGGGGAGACCTAATGATCATGTGCAGCAATGACCGCACTCCCATTAGTATTTGTATTATGCATGCTTATTATTATTATGCATGCTTTCTTTTGGGGGTTTGGGTGACGCTGGATGTCTTCATGCATAAGGGCCCGAAGTCACTCTAGTGGGTGTTTGGTAGATAGAGGTGGAGTTTACCCTCAAAGGTAATCATTGAAGTTTATTAAAGTGAAGATTTTTCGCACAGAGCGCCTAAAGGCCCAGGGCCGGCCCTGATTCCTGTTATGTGTTACTGACAAAGAATACCCCAATATGTGTTCAGCAACATTTCCTGAGTACAACACTACCCCCAATGTACAGTTTTTTTTTTTTTGCAAACTTACAGGCAGAGCCGACATCAGAAATTTTGGGGCCCCTAACACAGCTCAAGGTATGGGCCCCTTGGGCCCACCTCCAAGCCCGCCTCCAAATCCCGCCCACAGGAATATACACACAGACACAAATGGACACAGACACACACAGAAAGATACACACATACTAACAGATACAAATACTGAAACAGACATACACACATACAGTCATACTGACACACACACACATGCATAAGGAGATACAGATACACACACACACTGACATACATACATACTCACATACACACATACTGACACACACACACACATATACATGCAGACATACATACTGACAGAGACACATACTGGCATACATACAGACATACAGGCATACATACATACATACACATACTGGCATACATGCATACAGGCATACATACAGACATACACATACATTCATACAAACAGGCATACATACATATACATACTGGCATACATACATACAGGCATACACACACACATACGTACTGATATATACATACATACTGACAGACACATACTGGCATACATACAGACATACAGGCATACATACATACATACACATACTGGCATACATGCATACAGGCATACATACAGACATACACATACATTCATACAAACAGGCATACATACATATACATACTGGCATACATACATACAGGCATACACACACACATACGTACTGATATATACATACATACTGACAGACACATACTGGCATACATACAGACATACAGGCATACATACATACATACACATACTGGCATACATGCATACAGGCATACATACAGACATACACATACATTCATACAAACAGGCATACATACATATACATACTGGCATACATACATACAGGCATACACACACACATACGTACTGATATATACATACATACTGACAGACACATACTGGCATACATACATACAGGCATACATACACATACTGGCATACATGCATACAGGCATACATACAGGCATACACATACTGGCATACATGCATACAGGCATACATACAGGCATACATACATACACATACTGGCATACATGCATACAGGCATACATACATACAGGCATACATACATATATACACACACAATTCATTTTTCAGCCACCCTCCTCTTCCTTACCTTTGCATTGCAGGAGGGTGGCTGGGGATGATGTGAGTCGGCTGCCTCTCCTCTCGGCCTTCAGGCTGCGTCCTCCTTTCTGCACGGAGTAAGCTGGGAGGAAGTGACCGGCCATCACTTCCTGCCAGCAGCACTTGCGTTGCGGCTGCATTTTTTTTTTAAAGGGGCCCGGTCGCGTATTACAGCGCTGACTGGGCCCCTGAAGATTATAGGACCAATTGGGTGGCCATAAATGCTTGGGCCACCTGATGGGCTCCATCAGCGTGTGGGCCTCGGTGCAGATGCACCGGCGGCAGTTCCACCGCTCCACGTGGGACCTGGGCGGCTGGGCCCCCCAGGGCCACCAGGCCCGTGACAACCATCATGGTTGTCACCCCCTGATGGCGGCCCTGCTTAGAGGGGTCAAATGTAGGGCTTCCCCTTTTCCATGTTTGCACATTGAAATTTGCCAGATTGGTTTGCTGAGCCTGTGTTACCTTTGAGTGTGTATGGAAGCCCAGGAATGAAAATTAAACCCATCATGGCATACCATTTGAAAAAGTAGACAACCCAGGGTATTCAAAATGGGGTATGTTCAGTCTTTTGTAGTAGCCACTTGGTCATAAATGCTGACCAAAGTTAGCATTTTTATATTTGTTTTTTGCATTTTTTTTAAACCAAAACTGCACTTTTACTGGTGATATCATCACCGTGATAAGTTTTACTTTTTAAAACACTCATATTTATGTTCAGGTTTTATGGTGTTTTGGAAAGTTACGGGGTTAACTATAATCCGTAAAAAAATTTCATGACCGCTGCGAGAAAGTGAGGTCACATGCGATGATGTCGCTCCCCTCCCAGCGCTCTTTGCTGACGGACGCGCAGGAGGAAAGAGAAAGGAGCTCCAATGACCAGGTAAGTGCATGGAATGAGGGAGGGGGTGAAATCTTTATCATAGACTCACAACTAGTGATTCCATGATAAAGATTTCACCCCCCTATTAAAGTTATTTTCTCTCCCGGACAGCAATATTGTTGTCCGTCCAAAATTTGCACATTTTCAAAATTCGCAGGGGATCTTGGAACGTATCATCCACAAACTTTGGGTTATTACTGTAGTTAGTTAAATATATATGCAGAATGTGTGTGTGTAAATAAATAAATATATATATATATATATATATATATATAAAAATAAAATTTGTGTTTTTTTATTTTTTAATTTAATATATATATATATATATATATGACACACTCATAGACGGACTCACACTATTACTCGGGGACACACTGACAGACGCACACTCTCACTGACAGACGCACAAACTCACTGACAGACGCACACACTCACTGACCGACACATACACATTCACTGGCCGACACACACACATTCACTCATAGACACACACACACTCATAGACACACACATATACACACACTTACAGACACACACTTACAGACACACACTCATACAAACATTCACTCACAGACACACACACACACACACACACACATTTCCCCCAACATACACATTTTTTTAATTTTTTTTTTTTAAATCCACCCAGCCTCTCTGGGAGAGCTGGAGTGGATTGCTTACCTGCAGTCCAATGGGGCTGCTGGTCAGGCAGGCAGGGGGCGGACAGGCTGAGTAGGTGGCGAGGGAGCTTTAATCTTCCTGTTCGCCTCCATCGCGCGCCGCTTAGTGATGCTGTCTGACATCATATTCCGGCTCCCGGCTTCATTAAGTGGTGTGGAGGGAGCTGAGCAGGAAGAGCTCAGGTGAGCATGCTCCCTCGTTGCCTGCCGCCAGCCTCGGGGGGGCTCAAAAGTGGCCAGCTCTTGAGCCCCCCAGGACACGAGGCAAGCAAGGGATCTGCCTGGGCGTTTGGGGACGGCTTTTATTGCCTCACCCTGCAAAGTGCCACCCAAGGCAGATGCCTTGTTTGCCTCATGGAAGATACGTCCCTGTGTGCGTATATATATATATATATATATATATATATATATATATATATTATTTTTTTTTACACACTTTTAGGTGCCTGGGGGAGTCTCCCTGCTGGCAGCTCCATAGACTGCTATTGCGGCCATGTGATCATGGTGATCACATGGCCCCGGAGGGCTGCAGTGGACGGAGCTGCTGCAGGGGGCAGCAGATCTCGGGCAGTCCCCCAAGATCGGGATCGCTGGTCCAGATAAGTCCAGGGGTCTGATTTTTTTTTAATGCCTTTCATTGTAGTGATTTTGCCCTGCCTTGCTGAGTCTTGCAGTGTGGGTACACTGGCTATCTCACCAGACACAGTTGGTAGAAGCTGATAGGGCACTATTTGTCCCATACTGATTGATGGTCACTTTTTCTCAGTAAAGGCTGTATGGGCAATTGAAGACACATTCACCCATTTCACCCTGAGAAGAACAGCGTTTTTCGACACACAGTCTGCAGCGTCAGTGACAGTCCTTCAGTGTGGAACAAATCAGAGTCCTATTAGTTATACCAACTGCGTTTGTGTAGCAGGCATATCCACACTGTACGCAAAAACACTACAATGAACGGCATTTTAGAAAAAAGAGCCATATAATTTAATTTGAAAAAAAGGGGGATTTTTCAAAAATATGAAAGAAATAAGTAAGTGGGCAATTGACAGCCCTCTTAACCGTTCTGCTCTTTCAAATTTAATTACTTCTGCTGCTGCTCGGGCACTTTAAGAAAAAAAAAAGTTTAACAAAATGAATCCTGCTGCTGCTCTCCATTCTTCATTAATACAAAATTGCAAAAGGAAAAACATTCATTCATCTATAAAAGGCCAACTTAGATAAGTTTTCCTATACACCAGTAAGTTATCTTTATAAGTACTCTCACTTATTATTTTTTTTAATACTGATTTATAATAATCAGATTTTGGCAACTCACAATAGGCATTGCAAACATTAGGCTGGGTAATATTGTAGTCTTTTTTGCACTTTTTTCCAGCCTCTTGGTTTGTCCAAAATGTATTCAGTGCACGATAATATTTGGATGAGCTAAACAGCCATGTGGATAGATTGTACCATCCAAACTATTTTTTTTAAGCCAGACCAAATTTTACCATACCATCAAACCATATGCACATGACATCGTTCATGCGCAGTGTGGAAGTTGGATTGTCTCATGCTTGTAGTGCGCATGCACCAACATCAGCTGTGTAGGACACATGCACAGTACAGGTAGGGTATTATAACAGAGCAACTGCATCACTGGAAGTGACGGGGGTAGTGCATTTTCAATGGGTAGGAGATTTTGATAGAACACCAGTATGTTTGCAATACCAGCACTGGCCAGACAACCTATAATACTTGCTGTGCCGGTAATGATTATATCAGAGTTCGCAATCAGTGTGTTTACGAAAGACAACAGAATACTTATAAATTAATCCATTTTATTACAAAAATATGAAATGCAGCATCTGAAATTCAGAATTGTCCTATTTTTAAATCAGGATCATATTGTTTATTGAAGACTAGCAGTTTTTTTTTGGCATAGACTTGGTGATGGCTAAATATGGGAAACCAATGTAGACAGAGTTCGAAGGCCAGTAATGAACCTGTGGTTGGCATTCTGGAATCTCATAAACAGCATCAAAGTAGGCAAAAAGGGTGTTACTGTATAAAACGGTGATACAGATAAGGATGTGCCTGCAAGAAAGACAGATAAATAATCAATTAAACATCTATAGGTCTCATTGTCTTGTTATCAGGACGTCCAGCATCAATTAGGCGACCAAAATTTACTTAACCACCAGAAGGTGCCTCTAATGGCTATGTGATTGACAGCAGCTAGAGGCAATCTTAGTTCTTAGTCCTGCAATATAATTATTGCAGTTTCTCAAAAAATTCATTGATTTATATTGCAGACTAAGGGGGACAGGGACACTGCACCCAGAACACATCAATGTGATAAGGTGGTCTGAGTGCCTTTTGTATCCCTTTAATCCAAGCAGCAAGCCTAAAAAGGGAGCACAATGGCCAGAGATCTCTCTCACACACTCACCAGCCTATCACCCTACACATTGAAGCCCGTACCCTCTCCACAATCACTAAACACAGCCTCTCCCTAAACACACTACACCCCATATCTCACCCCCTCACACAACATCATCTATATAACACACTACATCCCCTATCCAACGCACACAAACTACATCCCCTATCCCACCCATACAAACTGCATCCTCTATACCCTTACACACTACATCCCCTACCCAACCCACACAACTAAATCCTCTATAGCCTCACACACTACATCCCCTATCCCACACAACTACATCCTCTACACCCTTATACACTACATCCCCTATCCCACCACACAAACTACATCCTCTATACCCTCACACACTACATCCCCTATCCCACCCATACAACTACATCCTCTATACCCTTATACACTACATCCCCTATCCCACCCACACAAACTACATCTTCTATACCCTACACGCTACATCCCCTATCCCACCCACACAAACGACATCCTCTGTACCCTACACACTACATCCTCTATCCTACCCATACAACTACATCCTCTATACTCTCACACACTACATTCCCTATCCCACCCACACAAACTACATCCTCTATACCCTTACATACTACATTCCCTATGCAACCCACACAAACTACATCCTCTATACCCTACACACTACATTCCCTATGCAACCCACACAAACTACATCCTCTATACCCTTACATACTACATTCCCTATGCAACCCACACAAACTACATCCTCTATACCCTTAGACACTTCATCCCCTCTCCCACCCATACAAACTACATCTTCGATACCCTCACACACTACATCCCCTATCCTACCCATACAAATGACATCCTCTATTGCCTCACACACTACATCCCCTATCCCACCCACACAACTACATCTTCTATACCCTCACATACTACATCCCCTTTCCCACCCACATAAACTACATCCTCTATACCCTTACACACTACAGCCACTATCCTACCTACACACATGCATTAAAAAACAAACTAACTAACTAACAAACAAACAAACAAACAAACAAACAAAACACATGCTACCCTTCATGCTCACTCAGACATCTGCAGAGGAAAGACCACTGATTTGGCATTGTAGGTAACTCTAGTCTTCACTAGACCTAGACTGTCTGTCCGTACAATATAAATAATTTTATAATAAACAGACTGTCTAGCATACAATGTATTTATAATAAAAATGGTTAAAAATTAAATATAACTAATAAAATCATAGCTGATTACCAAGTGCCACCGACTGCCTTCCACTCCTGTATGTTTACCTGCTAACCTGCCTTGCTAAATGAGTAAAATAATAGTTATAATAATAATAATACATGGTTTATCAGGCCTCCTCACCATATGCTGTGCAGATAAGAAAAGTTGATCGTTCTCCAGAAGCTACAAAACAAACGGTCACTGAGCCAGCAGGAAATGGCCACAACCCACAAGACGAACGCAAGGAATGCCAAATTACGGATTTCCTGAACAGTACACCTGAACAAAACAGATTCAAGGTAATAAAAGGGGGGATTAGAGGACATGCAAATGTAACCAGGCACCGCATGGTAGAGTGTGACAAAGGCCCTCACCTATATACTCCTTGCTGCCGCTGTCCCTGATAAGCAAATAAGCAGCTCTCTCCTCTATATTTCTCACTTGTTATTTTGAGAAAACAACATGTTATGTCAACATAACAAACTTGTGTAACTTGTTTTCTCGGCATAACAAGTCAGAAAAAATAAAAAATACATGGCCTCTCTGGGCTTTCCTAACCCATTGTAAACTAAATCTAGATCCTGAAACTGAATATGATGTCTTATCAGGTGCAATCAGTACATAAATGCTTAATAATACATGCATGTATAATAGAAAGGATAAAAGAATATTCATCCTGCTTTATCTGTCACTGAGTGGAAAAATCCCAGAACCCTGTGGATTAAATCTTCTTTGATTAAATAACTGTTGCTGATATTAGGATGTTCTGTATATACCCTGTTCCAAATTATTATGCAAATTCTATTTAAGTGTCACAAAGATTTTGTTTTTCAGTTTAACTCATGGATGGCATTGTGTCTCAGGGCTCTTTTGATCACTGAAAACAATCTCAGACACCTGTAATAATTAGATTGCCAGGTGAGCCCAATTTAAGGAAAAACTACTAAAGGAGGGTGTTCCACATTATTAAGCAGGGCACCATTTTCATGCAATATGGGGAAGAAAAAGGATCTCTCTGCTGCCGAAAAGAGTGAAATAGTTCAATGCCTTGGATGAGGTATGAAAACATTAGATATTTCATGAAAACTTAAGCGTGATCATCGCACTATTAAGAGATTTGAGGCTGATTCAGAGCACAGACTGGTTTGTGCAGATAAAGGCACATTGAGGAACATTTCTGCCAGATCCATGCATCGGATCAAGAGAGCAGCTGCTAAAATACCATTACAAAGCAGCAAACAGATATTTGAAGCTGCTGGTGCCTCTGGAGTCCCATGGACATCAAGGTGTAGAGTCCTCCAGAGTCTTGCAACTGTGCATAAACCTTCTATTCGGCCACCACTAACCAATGCTCACAAGCAGAAACGGCTGCATTGGGCAGAAAAATACATGAAGACTAATTTTCAAACAGTCCTGTTCACTGATGAGTGCTGTGCAACCCTGGATGGTCCAGATGGATGGAGTAGTGGATGGTTGGTGGACGGTCACCCTGTTCCAACAAGGCTGCGATGTCAGCAAGGCGGTGGTGGAGTTGTGTTTTGGGCCAGAATCATGGGAAGAGAGCTGGTCGGCCCCTTTAGGGTCCCAGAAGATGTAAAGATGACCTCTGCAAAGCAGTGGCGTATTTAGGATTCATTTTTAGGGGGGGCACATGGTGGGCCAGGGACAAAAGTAGAAGGGCACATTTAACTCCTCCCTCGCCACAGTTTGACCCCACACCTGCTGCATGTTAAGCCCCCCCCCCCCCAGACACAATGTGTTGTTTTTTTTTAATAATCCCTGGTGGAGGATTAATTATTTTCCACCAGGGATTATTAAAAAACAAACACATTTACCTTGATACAGTGCCATAGTTGCCAACATTTGAAAAAAATTTCCAAGGACATTTTGCAACACAACTATCAATTACTGTTTGTGTATAATATACCTGGACACAGGCCTGTATTATACAGAAAGCAGCACTATACAGGGAACACTGACTGTCCCAGGATATTATACAGACACAGACCTGTATTATACAAAGAGCAGCACTATACAGGAAGCACTGACTATCCCGGGATATTATACACACACAGATCTGTATTATACAGAGAACAGCACTATTGTATTATGCAGATAGCTGAGCATATACCCCATGTACCAATCTCTAGACTACTAGTACCTGTCAACAGCAGCTCCCAGACGCGTGTAACAGGGCTAAAGTGTGCGGCAGCTCACACAGATGATTCAGCGGTAGAGCGCACTCGCTGGCAGAGCCAAACTGGGAATCCAAAGCAGCCCTGGAAAGAAATGTATGCCATTCCTACAAGTCAATATATATATATATATTCATATATATATATATATATATTACAGTAAGCACACAAGCTCACTGACAAGCGCAAATAGGCTTACTGACAGACAAAACTCTCTAACACACACAAGCTTACTACAGACAAACACACTTGTATAAACACATGGCTCACTACAAAGAAGTTCAGGGACACACACAATCTCACTAAAGACAAGCTCACTGACACACACATGCTCACTAAATAGAAGCTCACTGACACACACAAGCAGTACCATCTTAACAGCATTAAGGGCCCCTGGGCAAAGCAGTGCACTGGGGCCCTTCCTACACAATAACTCACAGGAATAAAAATTTTAATTATTGATAGACTGCTGAGTACATACACACAGTACACTGAATACGAACACCGAGACACTGCTGAATATATACACACACATACACACACACAGATTTCTGAATGCATACAGACTCCTGAATGCACACAGGCGTTGCTAAATGCACACAGGCTGATTTATACACGTACACACAGCCTGCTGAGTCCATACACACATACAGACTGCTGAGTCCATACACACACACACACACACACACAGACTGCTGAGTCCACACACACAAATACACACACACACAGACTGCTGAGTCCATATACACACACACAAACACACAGACTGCTGAGTCCATACACACACACAGAGACTGCTGAGCCCATACATTCACACAGACACACAGACTGCTGAGTCCATACACACAAAGACTGCTGAGTCCATACACACACAGAGACTGCTAAGTCCACACACACACACACACACACACACACAGACTGCTGAGTCCATACACACACACAGACTGCTGAGTCAATACACACATACACACACACAGACATGCAGACTTTGAGTCCATACACTCACACACAGACTGATTAGTCCATACACACACAGACTGCTGAGTCCATACACAAACACACACACACACACACAGACTGCTGAGTCCATACACACACACACACAGACTGCTGAGTCCAAACACACACACAGACTGCTGAGTTCATACACACACAGACTGCTGAGTCCATACACACATGACCGCTAAGTCCATGAACAGACACAGACTGCTGAGTCCATACACACACACACATAGACTGCTGAGTTCATACACACACACACACACACACACACAGACTGCTGAGTCCATACACACACACACACACAGACTGCTGAGTTCATACACACACACACTGCTGAGTTACACACACACACAGACTGAGTCCATACACACACACACACACAGACTGCTGAGTCCATATACACACACACACACACACAGACTGCTGAGTCTATATACACACACACACACAGACTGCTGAGTCCATACACACACACACACACACACACACAGACTGCTGTGTCCATACACACAGACACACACACACAGACTGCTGAGTCCACACACACACACAAGCTTCCTCACTAGCAGAGACACACACACACACACACTAGCATATCAAGCCTACCTGTCACTGGAGCCTGTTGCTGGGCAGTCAGACAGCCATCTTCTGGCCTTTCCAGCAGCAGCAAGGTCTGCTGCTTTATGGCGGGGGTGGGGCTTATGTGCGGGAGGCGGGGCTTCATTTGGGGGCGGGGCCTTGCCGGGGAGCCTGTCAGTGCTCCCTCCGGCCCCAGCATCTCTCCACAGACAGCATCCAGCTCCTGTGTCCTACATTCCCTCGGGCTGTAACAGACTGTTACAGTCCGAGGGAATATAATTTAAACACATGGCCAGCAAGTTGCTGGCATTTGGGTGGGCACAAGGGGGGGCACAGCATGATGTAGGGGGGGCCATGGCCCCCTCTGCCCCCCCCTAGCGACGCCACTGCTGCAAAGTTTTGAAGTTTCTGACTGACCACTTTCTTCCCTGGTACAGAAAGAAGAACTATGCTTTCCGTAATAAAATCATCTCCATGCATGACAATGCACCATCTCATGCTGCAAGGAATACCTTTGCATCAATGGCTGCTAAGGGGATAAAAGGAGAGAAAGTCATGGTGTGGCCTCCATCCTCCCTGACCTCAATCCTATTGAGAACCTTTGGAGCATCCTCAAGCAAAAGATCTATGAGGGTGGGAGGCAGTTTACATCCAACAGCAGCTCTGGGAGGCTATTCTGACATCTTGCAAACAAATTCAAGCAGAAACTGTCCAAAAACTCACAAGTTCAATGGATGCAAGACTTGTGAAGCTGCTATCAAATAAGGGGTCCTATGTTAAAATGTAACGTGACCTGTTAAAACGTTTAAAAAGTTAAAATGTTGTTATAAGTTTGATTGAAATAGCTTTTGATTTCAGTAAATATCCTTCAAACACAACAAATGACAATTTTCAGTTCTTTACAACCTATAAAGTGTTTTGAAACGTAATGTGCGTAATAATTTGGAACAGGGCATTGTAAGTTTTTTTATGTTTAAAAATAATACTGTTATCATTAGGAAGTTTGTTCAATAAAATTTGAATTGTACTCTTAATAGTTGATAACATGAGAATTATGCTGACTGTTATTTACATCAATTATTTAGGTAAATGAGAAAAAAATAATTTGCATAATAATTTGGAACAGGGTGTATATAAAGTAAGTATAACATTTGAATAGCCCTAAGTGTGATAGATAAGGGTGCTTTTGCAAGAGATTGGTGATGCCTAAAGAGCTTGGGTGTGAATGCTGGTAGTTGCAGTCCACGTCATTGTGATTCCAAAAAGAAATAATGCCATATCTAACACCAAAACCTAAGTGTCATGAACCCAAGAAGTTTAAAGGGACACTCTAAGCACAAAAACAACTATTGCTTAATGAAGCTTATTGTATAGATCATGCCTCATGCAATCTCACTGAACAATTCTCTGTCATTTAGGCGTTAAAGGGACACTAGTCAACAAAACGACTCTAGCTTAATGAAACAGTTTTGGTGTATAGAGCAATTCTCTTCCATTTGGGAATTAAATCACTTTGTTTATGAACCCTAATCACACCTCCCTGCATGTGACTTACACAGCCTTCCTAAACCCTTCCTGTGAAGAGTCATCTAATGTTTATACTTCCTTTATTGCAAATTCTGTTTAACTGAGAATATATTTTCTCCCGTTCTGTTAAAAGTTTGCTAGACTCTACAGAAGCCTATTGTACATAATTAAAGTTCAATTTACAGAGCAGCAGATAAAAACTTTTAAAGAAAGTTATATCTGATTGAAAATTAGACCATTTTTCTTCAATTCAGGTTGTGTCAGTCACAGCCAGGGGAGATGTGGCTAGGGCTACATAAGCAGAAACAAAAGTGATTTAACTCCTAAATGGCAGTGAATTGAACAGTGAGACTTCATAGGCATGATCTATACACCAAAACTGCTTCATGAATATAATTTTTTTTTGGTACTATAGTGTAACTTTTGTTTCTGTTTATGCAGGCCTAGCTAAACCTCCCATGACCGTGACTGAGACGGAAAATGGAAACAAAGTGTTCCATTTTCAATCTAAACAGCATGCTTACTTTAGAGATTTTTGTCTTCTGCTCTGTTAATTTGACTTTTATCACACACAGGAGGCATCTGCAGGATCCAGAAGGCTATTAACAGAGCAAGAGTTAAGAAATTCGAAAGTAAACAGAATGTGCAATAAAGGAAGTATGAACATTAGATCTCTCTTTTCAGGAAAAGTGTGGGGAGACTGTATAGGTCACATGCAGGGGAGGTGTGGCTAGGGCTGTATAAACAAAGTGGCTTGTCAAGTTTCACTCTATACATGTTCTATTATGCTATGTTCAAGACCAATATCTACCTTATTTTGGGAATAATTATTTTCAGCTTCCCCCTGATTGTGATTACATACATTAGATCAGGTTGGGAGATGGAAAAATTATAATTTCAGTGTGATTTATTGCGTTTATCACTATAGTGGGGTGCCCTCGAAGGCACAGTAGGGATTTTATAAATTGATTTCATCCTATTAGGACCTATTTGTCTATGAAATGGTGTTATCAAATAGATATTTATTTTTTGCTTCCTTCCACAATACTTCTCTATCCTTTCTCTTGCATCTGTATTATGTATCTTTTACATTATATTATTATCACTAAACACTTTTAGGCTGCTATTTTAGGCAACAATGTGTACATTTCGCCTTCCCACTACTGTTACTTACTCATCTGTCTGTTAATTTTTTATAACAAATCAGCAATTCTTTGTTCAGTCAACAGACCTCCTGTTTATTGTGCCAGAGGAGGTCAGTAATGTGCTTTAGAACAGTTTTTGCCACCTTATGCAAATGGAGGAGCTTGCTACTAGTTAAGTCGGAAGATTACAGCACAAATATATAATGTACATACCTTGGGAAAATTCATTAGCATATGGCTTTGAGATTGCTGATATTTTAGTATATAAGCACTGTTGACTTCTCGTACTTTACTGTAGTACACTTTTCTCTGATAATTCACTATTCCTGATATTAAACGCACAATTTAGATGATAGTTCACTAGTGTAATTTGTTATGTTTAAAATCCATTTTTCTGGACATTATTTCAAATGCACTATTGAGGTGACAGTCTACTAATGTGATTAATATTATGTTTGCATGTGCATCTTGTTTTTAAGTAATTTAATAAAAGTGATGTTTAATGTACTTTGTACCATGTATATATATTTTTTGTTACACTCTTTTTTCCTCTTACTCTTCTCCCACTGAAACAATTCTTGCTTCTTTAGTTCTGTGTATAAACAAAGTTATTTAACTCCTAAATGGCAGAGAATTGAGCAGTTAGACTGCAGGGGCCTGATCTATACAAGAAAACCACTCCATTAAGCTAAGTTGTTTTGGTGTTTATGGTGTCCCTTTAACTCCCATAACCACAGGCTTAACCTCAAGCTCATAGCCTAACCCTAAATCTTCAAATCTAACTGACATAACCCCACAGAATAACCAGAACCTTTAATGGGTTACTCCAAGCACTATGCCCACTTCTGTGATTTGAAGTGGTCATGGTGCACACAGCCTGTATGTGCAGCTGTTTGCTATAAAATACTGCACATGCAAAGTTTAACCCTTCTGCTACCGGAGGTGTAACTCTACCTCTAGCAGCGTCATTGGGATGTCATTAGCCAGCCCGGAACAAGAGGAAATCTAGAAATGGTAAGCGTGCACATAAATGGATGTCTGTGTATTACGAAGAAGGATGTTTCATGTCTATATATTAGGAATAGCAAGGGTATATATCCTGGTGTGTGTATTTTTGGAGAAGGTGAGAAGTCTATCTTCCACCTCTGTATATAAGATAGAGGTGAAGGTATATTGCGAAGAATACTTACTTTCTAATTTCCTTCACCATTATGTATAGTATGTGGAACGTTATACAGTTCAAGACATAGGCGTTGATCACAGGCTTCGCAAATGACAGCGCCGTACTGATCGTAGCAATGATAAAAATGGCAGTTCCAAACTGATTCCTGGAGAGATGGTAAGAAGAGTTACTAGGACATTTTAATTTAAAGAATTAAGGCTTTTTTTTTTATATGGTCACATGCAATCTACAGTTTAAGACATTTTCTAAAATAATTGTAAAATATCTTTTAGGGCAACTAACCCGATCATGAATAGTATACAGGCACAAGAAATGTCAAGTAGGAAGATATATTTCTGGACAATAATTTGCTTTCAAGACACATGTGGACTACTTTTGTCTACATTCTAAGCTGTTATCTCAGGTTATAAATAAACCATTTTTTCTGAACAACAAAGGAATTTTATCAATGATTTTATAGTTTATATATCTATAGACTGTAAGCTCGTTTGAGCAGGGCCCTCTTCAACCTATTGTTCCTGTAAGATTTTGTAATTGTCTCATTTATTGTTAAATCTCCCCGTTTGCTAATATTGTAAAGTGCTACGGAATATGCTGGCGCTATATAAATACCAGTAATAATAATATATCATTATGCTATGTAACATGAAAGCATCTGTGTGCGCCATCTACTGGTTAAATAGCAAACATGTAAGCTTGGGATTTTTTGTATTTAGGTTGTGTATTCCTGGGCTAATGGGTCCCACGCCCAGGACTGATGGAAAGGAAGTCACAAGGGGGTGGGTGGCGGCGATAGAGACACAAGTGAAAGATGAAGGGAGGCCAGAGACATAAGGAGCAGGGGAAGCGGGGCACAGGGTCACCAAAATTTGTAAGAGTTCAAGTTCCATACTTGACTATAATAATTAAAATACAAGGGACACAAGGAAAGGAAAACGGAAATAAAAAAGCGACAGGGGTACTTTAAATTACACTAAAACCACCAATAAAGTGGTCTGCGTGAAGTAGTCCTGTCCTTTTAGCCCTAAAATTTAAAACACTGCAGTTTTTAAGCCTTAAGAGTTGCCTCTGTGGCACTGACCGAGTAAAAGATAAATGAGCAAATAATTAATTTAGAATGAAATATTGCATGTATTATTATATCCTACATGTGTATCATTTTAATGTGTGTGTGCTGAAGGTTGCCTACCCCTGTCTTAGATCATGCAGAATGAGAGTGGATGAAACCAACCCACAATACATTTTTAAAATGTTCTGCATTTTCTTATGATGCCAGAATTCATGAATGTGCACTAGCTACACGGTTTTATTATTATTATTATTATTATTATTATTATTATTATATATTTATAGAGCACCATCAAATTCCGCAGCGCTTTACAATGGGTGGACGAACAGACATGTAGTTGTAACCAGATAAGTTGGACACACAGGAACAGAGGGGTTGAGGGCCCTGCTCAATGAGCTTACATGCTAGAGGGAGTGGGGTAAAATGACACAAAAAGGTAAGGATAGTATTAGACTAGTGACAGTTGCAGAAGAGGAATCAGTCAGGAGCTATTAACAGTTTAATTGATACTCTTTTTAACGATTTTTAGGTTAAAGAAGAATGGTTTAGTGGTGCTTCTCACCAAAGAGGACTCAAGGATGGTTGTACTCGTGGAGCAACCGTAGAGTAGCATATAAAATGAAATGCCATTTTCAGTAAAAAATTATAAAAAAAACAAAAACAAATAACCCACATACTGGGTGATATACAGATTACATTTCAGTTAAAGTAGTCAATATATACATTTTACAAAAAAAAGTCATGCGCTCAAACTCCCACTACTCCTGGGCAGCAGCAGCGACCATATCACACATCAGCCCAAATATACACAGTAAAAACCAATGAAAAAAAGTTACCTGCGCTCTTTCCCAAATCCATAAGCATATTTAAACAAATGGAGGTTTTTAGTTACCTCCAATGGCCATGAGAGGTCCGAGCAGTTGTAAAACAGGTAGGTAGTAAAGTGACAGGGTATTCACTGAGGTGGTAATTGTGGCGAATTCTAAGTCAAGATAGCCAAACGGATACATTCTTGAAACCAGTTGAGTTTTCAGTTTTAGATATTTTAACCTAAATTTTGAAATTCACTCTGAATTCCCAATGTTTCATACTTTAGTGCATAACATTCATATTGTAGACGCTTAAACAATGTAATTTGCCAAATCAATCATTACATTAGAGAGAAGAACTGAAATAATCAGCCCTGAAATTGGACAGTAGCTACCACAGTAGCTAACCCTTCTGCCTGGAATAAAGTAAGAAAATCGACATAATCGGGAGAAAGAATCTATTTCAGGTTGAGATATTTTACCAAAATGAACAGGCAGAAAACTTATGGCTGGAAGATGGTTGATCGTACCTGTTCTTGATGAATTCCGGAAAGTAGGGCCTGGGAAACCATACAGAATAGCCCAAAGCAATCACCCACAGAATGGAGAGCTCATCCAGCATTTGCCCCAAGTAGCTCAAGGTCATGTGGTAGTATGCAGAGAAGAGGCCTATGGGGAAGCAATAACGTTACTGATTCCACATGTCAAGGAAACGGATGAAACACTTAATTCATTCTACATATACATTTTAAAAAAAAACTTGGAATGGCTGCATCCATAGACAATGATATATAAATATATATAAAACAAACTTGGCAGACAGCATAATTACACTTAAAAGCCATTGTCCTGAGATTTCCAAGGCTCTTGTTGTTGAAATTGTTGATATTTATGTACACTTATGGAGACCTGGACTATGTAGCTACTTATTTGTACAGGTCGCCTTTCAGCCATGCTTTGTGAGTCACAGGAATGAATTGTAGTGGAATGTCAGCCTTAATTATATTTGGTCATCAAGAACAGTGCACTTAACCCAATTTATGCTTTGATAAATTTGGTATCTTATTCACATAATAGATAAATCAGTGCTCCAGTCCATACAGGGACCTTTATCAGGACTATCCTTAGGACAGAAATGTCCATACATTTATTATGTGAATAAAGCACCTAATTGTTTTGAAGCATAGATTTGGTTGAGTGTGCTCTTCTTGGTGACTATATTTTGGCTCTGAGATTGCACTCCAGTGTTTCTCTACTGGCTTGTCAAGTGTTGGATTCTGTGGAGTGCTATATATATTTGATATATATATTTACAGCAATATATATACACTGCTCAAAAAAATAAAGGGAACACAAAAATAACACATCATATATCTGAATGAATTTAATTATTCTTCTGAAATACTTTGTTCTTTACATAGCTGAATGTGCTGACAACAAAATCACACAAAAATTAAAAAATGGAAATCAAATTTTTCAACCCATGGAGGTCTTGATTTGGAGACACAAAGTGGAAAAACACAATACAGGCTGATCCAACTTCAATGTAATGTCCTTAAAATAAGTCAAAATGAGGCTCAGTAGTGTGTGTGGCCTCCACGTGCCTGTATGACCTCCCTACAATCCCTGTGCATGCTCCTGATGAGGTGGTGGATGGTCTACTGAGGGATCTCCTCCCAGACCTGGACTAAAGCATCTGCCAACTCCTGGACAGTCTGTGGTGCAACGTGACGTTGGTGGATGGAGCGAGGCATGATGTCCCAGGTGTGCTCAATTGGATTCAGGTCTGGGGAACGGGCGGTCCAGTCCATAGCATCAATGCCTTCCTCTTGCAGGAACTGCTGACACACTCCAGCCACAGGAGGTCTAGCATTGTCTTGCATTAGGAGGAACCCAGGGCCAACAACACCAGCATATGGTCTTACAAAGGGTCTGAGGATCTCATCTCTGTACCTAATGGCAGTCAGGCTACCTCTGGCGAGCACATGGAGGGCTGTGCGGTCCCCCCAAAAAAATGCCACCCCACACCATTACTGACTCACTGCCAAACCGGTCATGCTGGAGGATGTTGCAGGCAGCAGAACGTTCTCCACGGCGTCTCCAGACTCTGTCACGTCTGTCACATGTGCTCAATGTGAACCTGCTTTCATCTGTGAAGAGCACAGGGCGCCAGTGGCGAATTTGCCAATCTTGGTGTTCTCTAGCAAATGCCAAACGTCCTGCACGGTGTTGGACTGTAAGCACAACCTGTGGACATTGGGCCCTTATACCACCCTCATGGAGTCTGTTTCTGGCTGTTTGAGCAGACACATGCTACGTATACAGTATATAATTTTAAAATAATAAAATGTTAAATAATAGTAAAATCAACTTCTATATATGCTGTATCAAGTATGTTTTTCATTTTTCCAACCGATGCACTCAAACCTCTCTTCGATATTTAAGCTTGTGTTTCTTGTTGAGCCCATTTTCCTACACTCTCATTAGAACTCCCTCTCCTTCTATTTTGTCACCTTTTTAGCACATTCTCTGTAACTTTTCTTACTCATTTTTTATTTTCCCTTCTTATGTTCAAAGGTGACATTATACCCTCTTACATTATCACTTCTACCCATTGTTTACTATCTGCATGAGAGAGGACCTTCATCCTTGGTATGCAGCTGATGGGAGCAACAGGACCATGCTTCAACAGGCACAAAACTACATATACAATTGCCCTAATCAACCCAGCAATGCGTATCGCAGAGGCGATCAACAAATGTGTATCTACCTCTCCAGGATTAAACCTCTATTTATAAACCCTGAAGAATTGGCCAAACGCGTCTTGGAAGCTGCATACATTTTGCCAATTTATTTTTATTTATATATTTTCAAAGTTTTTTAAAATAAATATTTTATTTAACTTCACTGTCATGTTCCTGATGCATATCGATTGCAGGTGGTCTCTTCCAGCCTTCTGCCACACATACGCATTAGCCCTACAATTGGCTGAGGTAATCAATCTGTATGATCTCAGCCAAGGAGGCAGAGAGGTCACAGCTAGACCAGCGTGTTAAGGGAGTAAAGGTAGGTTAATTCTACATTATAATCTTTTACAGGGGGGGGGGGGTGATAGACACCTAAATAGGTACGGTACCTCTATAGCATTATATGTTTGTATTCCTAACGTTTCATCGTTCCTTTAATATCTTTGCAGCTCACCATTTTATCTTGGCACTGTTACAGAACTATATGTCATTGTCCCTTTCCAGTCCTATATGGTTTCGTGCAGAGCTCCACAATAGAAAGTCCCATTCTACTTCAATGCATCATGAGGCCAAAAACAGCATCTAAAGTAATCTATGAGATATAGGTCTGTGTGTGGGGAGAGTCAGAACTGTTATCTACACAATAGTCAGGGGAAATCTTTAAATCTCTGTAAATAGCACAGATCCCAATGGTGCATTAACACACGCCAGACCACCTGATTTCTTCACTGTTGTGTATCTATTTTTTTTTAACTCCCTTTGTTATATAACTAAAGAAGGACATTCACTTAACAAACCCACACAAATATTAAAAAAAAGCCACATTCCATACCGACTAAGGTGAACATGGTCCAAACGAGATGAACAGCTAGGGTGCGTTTACAGGCATAAGGGTGCAGCAGGTACATCATGAGTGGTCCAGCCACAAAGAAGACAACATTGCTGACCTGTTAAAGTAGAAGAAAAAATATAAATTACAATTGAGCTTAATATGCACATTACAGGATACTGTTTATGAAAATTACTAGAATTGGACTGTTTAAATTACAAAAGTATCTGTAGTTCACAATTATTATTAGGCAGAATAAACAAGTGCTGCCCAGAAGCATTGTAGCTGGCAACTGGGGCAGATTTGTCCTTTGGCATTCCCTGAAATTTAACAATCTGAAGGCAACATTCTAAGTATTTATAGCTACTAGAACTGAATGCAGTGATTAGGGTGCAAGAAGACTTTAAAAACCCTCATGAATCTCTGCAACCCCCTATGTATCTCTTCAGTCCCCCATAACCCTGGGGAGTGGGCAACAAACACTCAAGGTACCATAATCTCTACTGCAGAGGCCATCAAAAGGTAGATCCCCATGTTTTAAAACTACAGATCCCGTGATGCTTTGTCATTGTAAAGGCATTCTAGAGGCATGCAAAGCATAATAGGAATTGTAGTTCTACAACATCTGTGGATCTACCTATTGGGCACCCCTGCTCTACAGCATGCTCTAGTGGTTATGCTTGGAGTGTTCTCTATTCCTAATGCTAGAGTGTTAGGTAGCCATTTAGTTTTCTGCTCTGCCCTCCGAGTTCCTGATAAGTTACTTCATTTACCTTTTCTTCTATGCTGCGGTGCTTTCTCTATGGCTAGACCTGCCTCCGTCGCGAGATCACGGAAATCGAGGATCTTAGCCAATCCAATGCTTTCCGGTAAGAAAAGCATTGGGAGGTTAGTGCACATCTTTTATAAACAGTCTGATAAAAATAGCAGTTTTACTTGCTGTGTAGTGCCTCTAGTGACTGTCTGAGTGTACTTAAACCTTGCAATTAAATCATTGCCGTTTTCCCTTGCAGGGTTAAAAAAAGGAAAAAACTGCACCAAAACCACTTCATTTAAATGATATGGTCTGGGTGCCTATAGTGTCCATCTGAATAATTTTTCTCTTTACGCATAAACAGCCAGATAGCCATTTTAATATGTCGCTATGCAGAATGTATCATTAATATTTATCCTTTAAAATGGCTAATGCGATAGCCCTCAGCACAGAAAGTCTTGTTACTTGGAGATTCAGTCTGATAATCAGTGCACTCGAACTTGGTGTTATTATTATTATTATTATGATATTTATATAGCGCCGTCAAATTCCGCAGCGTGGTACAATGGGTGGACGAACAGACATGTAGTTGTAACCAGACAAGTTGGACACACAGGAACAGAGGGCTTAAGGGCCCTGCTCAATGAGCTTACATGCTAGAGGGAGTGGGGTAAAATGACACAAAAGGTAAGGATAGTATTAGACTAGTGACAGTCGCAGAAGAGGAATTCACTACTAAAAAAAACTACTACTAAAGTAGGTGTTCACTACTGATATTACCCTATATTTATAAAGTGTAAACTCTCTGGTGGGCTATTACATTGTAATTAATTAAAAGCACAATTACAATATTAAGCCAAAATAGCTAAACTGAATATATAGCTGACTTCTTCAATATGGCTTCAAATTTCAAATTCCCATCGAATGCCGACAATTCACACATTAGTAAATAATCCTCTCTGACACCCCGAGTTAACATAACATTGTTATGGTTGTAATATGCCCATATGATTTATTGAATAAAGACCCAAGATATAACTACAAGCTGCAGTGAAATTGTGTGAGTACAAAATCAAACCTCATTAATGAAACTATTACACTATATTTTTATTTTTCACTTTTTAAATTTTTTTTATTTTTTTTGATGTGCTGCAATTCTTTTCCCGTGTGTGTTAAACTTCCTTTTTCACTGTAAAAAAAACCCAAATTTTTTATTCTTGTGTTCATTTGTCTGTCATAATTGTTAGCGTAGGTATATATATGTTATATATAGTCATGCATCTTCTCTTATCTTTATTGGTGCTCTGATAAGGAAGGATGGGGAAAATGGAAAGTCTCTTAACATCCATGTGACTCAGAACAGATGTAAATTCATAAATACTAAGCATATCTAATCAAGCGTTTGTAATGAGCAGTGTGATATTTTTATGGGAAGTACTGATAGCTCCAATTCCTTGAGCGGCATAAGCACAAAGCTATCAGTCACGAGACTTTATTTTAGAGGGTTAATTATTACAATGTAATACTAAAAGCATTAGTGCTGCCATGCATGTAGGACTAAACGCTAGCTTCTAATTTCATATAAATTTGGACCAATTTGCTGTAATTCAGAGATACTGGAGATTATGCATAAAAAGTGTTGTATCTTAAACCACAGATTCTTACTACAGCAAGAATTACCGGTATTTCTCTTATTGAATTCTGCATGCATAGTTACAGTTATGTTTATCTGAGAGCATTTTATTCTTAAGCTTCCATAGAATGTATGCTGTAGTGTACTCTATTTACACTATATGGAGTTTTCCTTTTTTATTATTATTATTATTATTATTATGATATTTATAGAGCGCCGTCAAATTCCGCAGTGCTTTACAATGGGTGGACGAACAGACATGTAGTTGTAACCAGACAAGTTGGACACACAGGAACAGAGGTGTTGAGGGCCCTGCTCAATGAGCTTACATGCTAGAGGGAGTGGGGTAAAATGACACAAAAGGTAAGGATAGTATTAGACTAGTGACAGTTGCAGAAGCGGAATCAGTTAGGAGCTATTAACAGTTTAATTGATACGCTTTTATGAAGAAGTGGGTTTTTAATGATTTTTTGAAGGAGTGGAGACTGGGTGAGCATCTAACGAAGGAGGGAATCTTTACCTAGTATCACCTAGTATTGCTAAGTATCTTCGAGTTATTATGTCTGATATCAAATATGTCATATCAAGCAGGATACTACAAGCAACTCTTATCATTTTTAAATTAAAAATTTTTTTTTTTACTTATTGCTTTCTGTTAGCAGAGAGTGCGAATCGTAGTGTTTCATAACTTAATATATGGCTCAGGTGCTACTCTTTCAGCGTGTGTTATTGAAGCCTCTCTCCAGATATTGGCACTTCTGTTTAATTGGTATTTATGATATGTTTCCTATTTAATTGGTATTTATGATATGTTTCCTAGTGATGCTGAACTGTTGTATGTAACCTATACAACCAAAATAAAGAATGGGAAAAAAAGTGTTGTATCTTTAATAGTGGTGCACAGATGTAAAGGGGGTGAAGTCACCTGTGGTGATTGCCCAACTTTTAGTACTTTAGACTACTAAAGTACATTTGATAAATAACCCCTAAAGTTTCTGAGGATATTCATTAAAGGGCTTCTCGAAGCACCATAACCACTTCCGTAATTCGAATTGGTTATAGTGCTTGGACTCTGTACGTGCAGTGTTACGCCAAGACGCGCTACACATACAATTAAAACACTTTCCTGCTAGAGATGTAACCACCTCCAGGAACCGTAGGAAGATTTGGCTTTACCCAACTGTCACGAATTGGGTAACCCAACACACAGAATAATAACCCTCCTATAGGTACAAAATAAATACCTAAACTGGTCCTTAGAATGGCCGGACTGACAGTAATAGGAAGAGAATAGCCAAACCAAGCCTAAGTCAAAGGGAGCCAGAGAACAACCAAAACGAAATACCAGAGCCGAGTCAAGGAAACCAGAAATCAGAGTAGTCAGGAAAAAGCAGAGTCAATATCAGAATAGTAGAAAACCAGATATAAACGCACTTTTGGGACACTAGTAAACTAGGAACCACAACAGGGCACTGAAACACTGGCTAAATGTGCTTTTATATGTTTGGGGGCGTGATTGATGCAGTCATGCCCCCAAAACATGAGAGGACGTCTGTAAATCTTGCCCTCAGTACTGCCTATCGCCTGACGTCAGCACGCGTATGCTGCGTCATACAAAAGAGGTGTGCGCACAGCAGCCGGCGTCCAGGAGACTAGCCGATCAGGCAGGAAGACTGGAGGGGGCAGGTCACCTGATTGGAGAAACAGCTAATTGGTGAACTGCCAAGGTAAGTATAGGATTTGTTACATCCTTGGACGACACCAGACTCCTCCCTCCCCCCTCTCAAAGCTCCCCCACTCCTTTTTTTTTCTCTCTCTCTCTCTCCTTTTCTTCCCGTTCTTTTCTCCCCAACTTCTCCCCTTTAGCACATCACCCAGACCCCTGGCTGGGTAAGGTGGACCCCGCTTGGGCAGGGATCAACACTTGTAAATAATATGTACTAACCTAGTGAGGGTATGAGGGACTTGCATAACAATGGAAGGAATTCAGGTCTTGGGGATCCAAGCTGAGCCACACAATGACCTGGAGTTCGGAAAGCGTGTTTTACCTGCTACCCGTATTTAATAAAAAGTCTGTTTCATGGGACCTGCGCGTCTATTTCTTCAGATTTTTCTCACCAGTTTACTGAGACTTGCGAGTCTCTGAATCACAATCACTATATTCATACCATAATGATGCATTAAATCTTGAGGGACCTGCGAGTCCCAACGCTGTACCTTTCTTACTTTGAAAATCGAATAAAGAGATATTTACAAAAACAAAACAAAACGCTGACTATGCAAGCAAACACCAGGCTAATGGTTAAACATAATCCATAAATAAAATGTAATATTTAATTTTTCTTCTGTCCTTTTACCTAGAGAAAGCAGACAAACAGAAATCTTTATTCATGTATTTATTATATACTGTTGGAATAGCTTTCTGTGTTGTTCACACATAATAGGTTAATATTGTTTTGGCGCAGCCTTTCCCCCTATCCCTTTTTACAATTAATCAGAAATCTTTGACTATTCCTTAGAATGAAAATACAGTTACCTTCCCCTACATACCACCTTTAGGTATGTTATCTTTTCATATTACAATGCAAATGCTTATCAGGTGAGGGGGCTGTCTCAGCCCCCTACCCATAAAACACAAAAGCGGAAGACGATAGTTATCATGAACCTTTGTCCATTCTAAGCTGCTACCACTCCCTATGTTAATCATTACAAACATCCAGCATTTAACGAACTTGCTAGATCACCTATGCATTTATATTAGAGCTGTGACTAATGCTCCCAGATGCAGCTGTCCTTGCACATAGTCACAGTCATTCACTAAAGAGAGAATTCAAGGTACATTCAAAGTGAATTTCAAACCTAAGGTCGAAATGGCCAAACTAGAACAATTAGCTGTGCTATCAGTTTGGCTGCTTTGGCCTTAACCCCTTAAGGACACAATTTCTGGAATAAAAGGGAATCATGACGAAATATTTCCGTCATGTGACTTTCATGGGTTAAATTTGAAATTTACTATAAATTCTCACTTAAGTAAACAACCGTGAATATCTTGGAAGTACATAAATTTTTAACGTCAGAGAACTGTACTGTAGTTATCATATACTATTATTAATATTATCACATATCATATACATTTACATTAGGGCGACCACGCCAAAATCAAGGTCATTTAACAACTATGGCTTCAGGAATGGATAAAATTAAAGGGGACCTCTAAGCACCATAACCACTACAGCTCAGTGGCTAGAAACACCCTCACACTGCATGACAGTGAAAACAGTAACAATTCACAGCTTTCACGGCTCCCATAGTCCGCCCCCTTTCCAGCCACATTAATATGTGAAATTTACACTATCCACTCCTGCATCACCAATATCAGTTCCATCTGACGTGGATTGCAGTGATGGGAGTGCTAAAATAGGGTCAGATGTAAATGGTGGTATTAGAGTAAATTCTGTGTTATCAATGCTACCAAATAGGGCGCAGGCTATATGTGCTGTGGAGAGGCCCAGGCTTGAGGCATCACAACACTATCCAGAGCTGTAGTGGTTATGGTGCTGTAGACTGCCATCTACTATTGATGATTACAGCCACATGGTATTATTATTATTAATATTAGTAGTATTTATATAGCGCCAACTAATTCCGCAGCGCTTTACAATATTATGAAAGGGGGAAATTTTACAATAAATGAGATAATTACACAATGACACAGGAACAATTATTATAAAGCATTGTATCAGGAATAATACAATCTCAGTATATACAATGTTATGGAAAATATACAATGTAACACACAGCACACACAGATCATTTTATGAACCCTAACCGATCGTCATTTTAATAAGGGTCATATAAAAAAAAATAAACTACTTACATCAGGAAACTGTTTAGTAAGACTGCAATGAATGCTTTATTTTCTTTGTGTTCGTCATTAACATGACAATCTCGCTAAAATACTCCCCAGAGTATCCGCCCCATGTTCCCTCTCGAGTGTATTTATTGTCAGGCATGTGTGAGTCTCAGTCCCCTGGGGGTTCTAACAACCAGTCCAGAGTTCAGGATTTTTACTAATTAACATGTAACCAAACAATAATGCGTCTAGAGAGCTTGGCTAAAGATTTGTCACTACCAAAAAGCTAATAGTACAAAGCTAGGAAGTACATAATACCATAAACAGATATTACAGATAGAAGGCATTCTATAAAAACAGACACAATTCACTATACATCTCATGACGCCAACCAAATTGAAATATCTAAAAGAAATAGCAAATAGTGTAAAACAATGAATAGTTGTAGTATTCCCCTACAACTATATTGTGTAAATACTATATTTTAACCCCTTAACCCCTTAAGGACACATGACATGTGTGACATGTCATGATTCCCTTTTATTCCAGAAGTTTGGTCCTTAAGGGGTTAAGGACCAAACTTCTGAAATAAAAGGGAATCATGACATGTCACACGTGTCATGTGTCCTTAAGGGGTTAAAGGTATTGGCTATAATAGAGAATTTGATTCTGTGAGAGTATCTAACTGAAAGAAAGTGGACAAGCTAAAGGATCTCTCAAGGCACCATAACCACTAGAGCTATTTGCAGTGACAAGAACCCAAGTACTGCACCTATTGAACCATAACTAATACAATAAGAAGTAGTGGTTATGGTGCTTATAGTATTCCTTTCATAATATTATGTAATTTACCGTGTATTTATTTTCTTTTTCAGATTGGTTGGTGTCAGTTTTAGATTTGCAAAGATTTGTATTTGAGTGTTTTGCTAAATACCTTGCATCTATAAAATCTGTACATGTTGTTTATTAAAGAGGTTTTATGTAATTCCTAGCTTTGCAGTAGATGGGCCAAATCAAACTTCCCTGAACACATAGAAAGCACAAACACAAAACCAGAGACCACTTGTTATACAGTCGCCATTCTACATTACATTAGAGCCTAGGGACACCCCTACTGGCCACTCCTCAAATGGGCACTAGAGGTGCTTCCTGGGGCAGTGCTGCACAGTGTGACTGACGTTCATGGAAACGCTGAACTTTCCCCAAAGCGATGCATTGATTCAATGCATCTCTATGATGAGATGCTGATTGGCCAGTGCTGTGTTTCGCTCCGCCTTGGCTAAAGTCAACAGAATTGACAATCTCATACAATCCAATGCTTTCCTATGGGAAAGCATTTTGATTGGCTGAGAAGATCAATTTTGATGATGTCAGCCAGGAAGGCGGACCGGGCACGGAGCAAGTGCAGGTGGACCCGCTCAGCCCTGGAAATAAGGTGAGTTTTTTTTAGTTACTTAAGAGAAGCAATGGAGGTATCTTGTTTTTTTTAACACTATAGGGTCAGGAATACATGTTTGTGTTCCTGACCCTATAGTGTTCCTTTAAATATGGACTTCAATATGATGACAAGAAGGCCAATAACCCTACAGTCGCAATGTAATTTGGTACTTTATTTCATCTGGAAGGTACAATACAAAGACAGCTGATAAGATAAAATTGCTCTACGATTAATAACTTGAAATGGAGACATATTTAAAAAAGATTTCATGTAGATTTGTTTTCATATACCTATAAAAAATAGATCTGCTTTAAGTGTACTTCCTAATATGAGAATTATCATAATATTTTCTGATCTTTGGATAGATGGATAGATGGATGTATGGATAGATAGGTTTTGCTCTGAGAATACAGGGTTAAGTAGGATTTTGCCAGTCAATACACTTACCGTGTTGTAATATTCAGCCACATACTCTGAGTGAAGATAGTTTGTTTCACACCAATCGACCTCTGAGCTCTCTCGTGCCAATATATTGGGAGGCATACTGGTAAAAAAGAAGAGGCAAGACGTTAATTTGGTACCCTAAGTTAAAGAAACGAAACACTGCGTGCCTATGGTCATGGTGCTAGGTGAAGCCATTTTTGAGTGGTTGGACCAGCAATTCTAGAAAGTGGAGGTCAGAACTGCCAAGGACCTTTGGCTTTGGTCCAAATGCTCAACAATGGTTTATCCCACAACTGGGAGAAGGTGTCTGCACAGTAGTTATGGTACTAAGACTGCCTCTTAACGACACGTATTGTTATAAAGTTAGGGGGCAAATATAAGAAAGAAATGCAAATGCAAGTGAAAAATCTGTTAGAGAAATACCATTTCTTCAAACCTGCATGGTCTGACATGTCGTAGGGCCATTGGCATATTGCTAATAATCTTTAAATACTGTATACAGAGCAAAGGGGTCACACTCACCTGAACATGCATACTTTATAAAGTGCTGCTAGGATCTATTAGGCATTCTGTAAATAAATTCAGGCTGCAATGTGTGATTATATACTGTAAGAAGCAAAAAGCAAGCTGTGGCATACATAGATCTCCACAACTGACTCCCATGCAGGATATGGCCTGCACTTCCACCCTCTGGCCACCCATAGAGTTTTATAGCGTGGCCAACGTGGTGAGTGCCAAGAGCAGTGTGTGTCTTCTTTCTTAGCATTATAGGGGCACCATAGGCACCGTATCTGCTTTATCTCATTAAACTGGTTATAGTGTCTGGAATCCTCTTTTGCCATCAATGTATTCAGCATTAAACAGATTTTTGTTTGTTTTTATGTTTCAATGCTAAACGAGCATCCCTGGCAGTCCATCCACTATGTGCTGCTTTGGCAAATGGGGAAGTATTAGTCTGAGCAGAAATGGGAAGCAGTGATTGGTTGAGAGTGTCACCTGACTGTTTGTAGCCTATCAGAGCTCCAACTGACAGATGGACTACAAGGAAGTGTGTAATCTCTGCCTTAGCCACACCTCCAAAAGGGGCTGGGCTGTGGGTGGCCAGGGATCCTTATTTAGTGTTTAACTGCTCGAAAATAGTTTAACACTGAATGGAGGGGCAGTGCCAGCGGACTCCAGGCACTGTGACCAATTCAAAGAAGTGAAATGGTTATATGGTGTCTACAGTGTCCCTTTAATATTTTACACAGTATAGTGGAGCAGGCTTGGATTTGACATTATGCCAGCATGGCAGTCACTCACACAGAATAGTAAGTTTGAGAAGAAAGGTGCAGCACTGTTCTGGGTCTTCCCTTCATGCTTCATTTAATATGGTAGAAGACAGAGAAAATTGGAGGTGGGGGAAGGGGGGCTAATGAGAAATAAATTAGGGGAAAGGGATGATAGGGAGAAATGACCGGAGTTGAGAGAGGCAGCGATAATTGGGAAGGTGGGTATTTGAGAGTTAACGGGGGTTGCAAGTAAAGGCTGGGGGGTTAGGGATGAAAACAAATGGGAGTGAATAGGAAGAGACAAGGGAGGGGGGATGCATAAGGGGGTTTATAGAAATGTTAAAGATGTGCTATTTACATGATGCTCGTCCATACCATCAGCCTGATTGGGCATTATGGGATTTGCACTTTAAAAGCTTTTAGAGGGCCTGTTTTTTTTATGAAAAACTGTTTCTGCAATGTATGCAATTTATGGCTATTCGAACATAGCAGGATCCGCACTTCACAGCTACACTTTTCATTCATTCTTGAATACACTCACTGCAGGCCAGATGGGGTTAATTTTGTCTATACAGGGTAGCTTTGTGATTCTATGTGTCTTCTTTCGGCACAATTGCCACTTTAGTTTATTATTGTTTACTGTGTGTGTTATAAAGGTAGGTCCTTTGGTACATTATATACTTTGACTTTATATATTATGGTCCCCTGCCTTCTTGATATGCTGATATTGCACACATAGAAACATCAACATACACATATACTAAGATTGCACACAAACAGGAACACAGAACACCAGCGTGCACGCATACTGCCATTGCTCATGCACACAAGCATACACCAGCATACAAATACACTGACAGTTCACACACACAGGAACTCCAACAAAAACACGTACAGATACTGAACATAGATTTACTAACGTAGACACATACAGAAAATGTGAAAACAACACACAGAAAAAGGACAAACACAAAGATGGGCACATACAGGAGAACTGACATACATCCACTGACAATGCACACACACAAGCTCTGATACACACTGACACTGTTCGCAAAGTACACAATGACATTACACTGAGAGTGAGAGACCTTCACATACATTCACAATTGATGTGCACAGAAAAACCCTCACATGCACCAATACTGCACAAACCATTTTTATTTATTTAGAAAGCACTTGTGATTTTAACAGTTGCACCAAGACAATCCTAAAAATGAGTGAGGGAGTGACTTTTATATGTCTTTTGTCATCCTCACAGTAAATTATGAATCAATAATGATGGGTGCAACCCCAACATGCACACCAGAAATTCTACTCCACCAGGCCAAGAACACAAACAGAACTAACCCAGAACTGGCAAGCTGCCACTGTAAACTCGATCCTGTTGTTATGCCAACAGGATGCTGATATAAGCTCGGTTCTGCGTCTAGTGTAAATGTGTGGAAATCACCACCACGACGTTTACACATTTGTATATGGTGTTCTGGGTTAGTCACGAAAGTGAATTTATAGTGAATTTCAAATTCACGGTTGTACCATTCGATCTGGAAACATTGTCTAAGTCAGCAATGCGTCAAGTTGATCTACTTTGGCCCTTATATTTGAAATTCACTTGGAATTCTCACTTCAGTGTATAACCTTATTAATAAATTATAAAACTGACACAATATTTTTAGGACGAGTTAGAATTCAGGCAGTGTAGCCGAGGTTAATCGTTTTAGGGTAGTGTAAGGGGTTAAAGTTTTAGCATTAGGGTAGTGTTGGAGTTAATGGGGATAGTTAGGGTAGCATACCACCTAACATTTCAAATGGACAAGGGGGGGGGGGGAGGTACTTTAATTGTAAGGATGTGGCTAGGCATGGGGCTATTATGAGAAATGTTAGGTGACTTGTTAATAAAAATGTATGTAACTAAAATAGGACAATGTATATTATTGACACAGACTGATTTCTAAGCACATTCATTGTGGTTTAAAGACACATTACTGGGAGCATGATTGCTGTGGAGCTCTGTTATACACTCCGATATAGATCTCCTAGAAAAGAGGGACATTAGGATAAAAAAGAGGGACAGAGGGATTTGGGTCCAAAATAGGGATTGTCACTCTTGCATAGGGACACTTGTGAGGTTAGGTATGGGGTAGTGAGAGAGTTGATGGTTAGTTTAAGTGTAGTGTAGTTAAGTGAATGACTTTTTTGTTATTAGGGCACCAGATTAGTTGGAGTTACAGTTAGTTTAGCTTCCACCACTAAAATAGTGGCAGGTGCTGCTTGGGAGTGTAACTCCCACTAATCTCAGGCAGCCATGAATGTATGTCCCAGTTTTGCCTTCAGATTAGTAGCCAGGAACTGCACTCACACTGTAGTCCCCAGTAATTATGGGCAATAAAAGCATATATTATATCAGCATCTGTGCAAAACAGCATATGAAAGCATGATGGGCTACGTGAAATAACTGGTAAATCAAGTAGGGGAATTTTTTTTTGGAACAAATATTTAAGTTGCTTAGATCATGCTTTCAAACCAGCAGGTGACATTATCCAAACATTAGTCTCTCCGATGCATTATTTGATTGCACCAGGCTTCTAATCTCAGCTTGTGTGTGATTGTGGGACCAGGGGGCACTGGAGTACTTTATTTCCTAATTCCTATCATCCTCTGGATCGAGGGCATGCTGAGGGAACTCACCTAAATTTAACAACTACCTCAAGTCTTCTAGTTTGGCAATTGTTGCCTTAAATTTTAAATTGACTTTCAAAACATGTTGAAATACCTTTTAGACCGAAAACATAATTGTGTTTGTCTATTTTGGACTAAAATTTGAAGTACATTTTTAATTCCTCAACATTTTTTTTTTTTTTTTTACCGTGATTACTCTGTTATGCTTTTCCTTTTTTTTTTAAATAATCTCTTTTTGTTTGTTGTCCCTCCATTTCTCCTTGTTTTTATCTTCTTGAATTCAAGTATGTATTTTATGCGTGAGGATAATTTTTGAGTAAACAGTTACAATAGGGAGAGCCTGAATTACAACTGTCACCTGAAGAATGTTTTTTAATATAATATTCCTTTCATCCCGTTTGGAAAATAAATATATATATATATTTTTTTTAAATTCAGTATATGTGAAAAAAAAAATAGAAAAACTCATCCCTACCTTTAATATACGGCAGGATCCATTAGCCACATGACCTTGGGTTGGACTGTGTTTCAAAAATGACAGTTAGTCTCTATGGTCCTTGTATCAGTGCCACCTAACTGTCAGAATTCAATGACTGTCCGACCAAAGGTGCATGTACATGGCTGAAGGAACCTGTCCAAAAGTGTATGTATTTGGCTGAAGGAACCTGTCCAAAGTTGTATGTATATGGCTGAAGGAACCTGTCCAAAGGTGTATGTATATGGCTGACGGAGCCTGTCCAAAGGTGCATGTACATGGCTTCAGGAACCTGTCCAAAGGTGTGTGCATATGGCTGAAGGAACCTGTCCAAAGGTGTATGTGTATGGCTGAAGGAACCTGTCCAAAGGTGTATGTATATGGCTGAAGGAACCTGTCTAAAGGTGTATGTATATGGCCAATGGAACCTGTCCAAAGGTGTATGTACATGGCTGAAGGAATCTGTCTAAAGGTGTATGTATATGGCTGAAGGAACCTGTCCAAAGGTGTATGTATATGGCTGAAGGAACCTGTCCAAAGGTGTATGTATATGGCTGAAGGAACATGTCCAAAGGTGTATGTACATGGCTGAAGGAACCTGTCCAAAGGTGTATGTATATGGTTGAAGAAACATGTCCAAAGGTGTATGTATATGGCTGAAGCATCCTGTGTTTGCAGGTGCATGTATATGGCTGAAGAAACCTGACAAAGGTGTATGCATATGGCTGAAGCATCCTGTGTTTGTAGGTGTATGTATATGGCTGAAGGAACCTATTCAAATGTGCGTTCTTATGGCTGAAGGAACCTGTCCAAAGTTGTATGTATATGGCTGAAGGAACCTGTCCAAAGGTGTATGTATATGGCTGATGGAGCCTGTCCAAAGGTGTATGTATATGGCTGAAGGAACCTGTCCAAAGGTGTGTGCATATGGCTGAAGGAACCTGTCCAAAGGTGTATGTGTATGGCTGAAGGAACCTGTCCAAAGTATGTATATGGCTGAAGGAACCTGTCTAAAGGTGTATGTATATGGCCGAAGGAACCTGTCCAAAGGTGTATGTATATGGCTGAATGAACCTGTCCAAAGGTGTATGTACAGGGCTGAAGGAATCTGTCTAAAGGTGAATGCATATGGCTGAAGGAACCTGTCCAAAGGTGTATATATATGGCTGAAGGAACCTGTCCAAAGGTGTAGGTATATGGCTGAAGGAACATGTCCAAAGGTGTATGTATATGGCTGAAGCATCCTGTGTTTGTAGGTGCATGTATATGGCTGAAGAAACCTGACAAAGTTGTATGCATATGGCTGAAGCATCCTGTGTTTGTAGGTGTATGTATATGGCTGAAGGAACCTATTCAAATGTGCGTTCTTATGGTTGAAGGAACCTGTCCAAAGGTGTATGTAAATGGCTGAAGGAACCTGTCTAAAGGTGTATGTATATGGCCAAAGGAACCTGTCCAAAGGTGTATGTATATGGCTGAAGGAACCTGTCCAAAGGTGTATGTACATGGCTGGAGGAATATGTCTAAAGATGTATGTATATGGCTGAATGAACCTGTCCAAAGGTGTATGGACATGGCTGAAGAAACCTGTCCAAAGGTGTATGTATATGGCTGAAGGAACCTTTCCAAAGGTGTATGTATATGGCTGAAGGAACCTGTCCAAAGGTGTATGTATATGGCTGAAGCATCCTGTGTTTGTTATGTATAAGGCTGAAGGAACCTATTCAATTGTGTGTTCATATGGTTGAAGGATCCTATCCAAAAGTGCATGTATATGGCTGAAGGATCTTGTCCAAAGGTGCATGCATATGGCATAACGACCTGTGTTTGTAGGTGTATGTATGTAGCTGAAGGAACCTGTCCAAAGGTGCATGTTTATAGCTGAAGGTACCTGTCCAAAGGTGCATGTATATGGTTGAAGCATCCACGGTGTGGCTATGATTTAAATAAATAAAGTGGGTGGACATTGTGTTCTATCGCATCTAGACACTTAAAATGTTACTAGCGACTGGGCAGCAATAGCAGCATGGTGAGTGCAGGCATGGGGGTTGTATGTTACCTCCCTTCCACTAAAGTCAGGGTCAAAGTGACCCTATTTCTTTTTTAATGACTGGATTTGGAAGAACATTTATGAGGGAATTTATATCAAGCATCCAAATCGTTTATCGGTTTTGACTGATAGAATCTTGGCTGGTAATAGGTCATTAAGTTATCGAAATTCAATAAAAATATCCGCTGAAAGCAGTCAATAATTTTTGACTGGATATTTCCAGTAATATTGAATTGAGGCCACAGGCCTTGAATTAATTGTCTTGGATAAGCTTATCTAATTTTGTTGATAAACTTATCACAATCTGCTAGAAAAACCTAAAATAATTTGAAAGAGTTTTCTAACAGATTGGCCTCAATTTAATTTGTTTGAATAAAAATCAGAAATTATTCCATTCTGTTAGAGAAAAAAAAAGCATTTTCAAATAATTAATTTACATAAATCACCATTAAAGTCTATGGGGATGTTTTTAGATAAATCGTTTACATTTTTTTTTTTCTAACACCATGGAATAATTTCTGATTACGTTCCAAACAAATTGTGATCATTTGAAAAACGTATCCAAAATTATTAAATCAAGGCCATAGTCTTCATTCACTTGATTGTTTGATTGCTGTTTCTTTTCTCTTTTAGTTTTACTTGACTTTTACTATAAAAATCTCTGTTTGGCGTCTCTGGTTATGTAGTTTTGGCACCTTCTATCCTTTATTTATTCTGGTTAAACTCCAATAATATATTTGGTGAAAAAATTTATAAATTTGATTTTGAATTGATCCGAATACACTGTTCATTAAATAAATACTAGAGGTAGATTGTGGGAATACTTGTTTGTTTCTTTGTCTGTTTTTAAATAGGATGAGATTTATTCCTTAAAATTTTCATGTCGATAGAATTTTTTTTACCAAATACTTGTCCTGAAAACCATCTCCAACTGTTTCATGCTGTGATTTTGGCTTAAGGTTTGCAATTTTCTTGTTTATAGTCAATAATTCCCAATCTAGGTTTTAAACCCTGTAGTTTAAATATAAATGATTTCTGAAACAATGCACACATCATTACAAGCATAATCATATTAGGTAACTACTGAAAGAGTGTTCGCACACATTAAAGAATAAATGTAGTATAAGTAGGATGAGGATACAAATTGCAATAAATCAACAATTGTCTAGTGACGGCTATCTCTGTGTTTTGATTTGCATTGTTATTTAAAAGCAGGGAAGAATACATTTAACATTCCATTCTCCATTCTTTTTACAGAGTCGAAAAACCAGCCCTTCTCCTAAATGTCAGCCTTTATTTTACCACGATCACTTATTGACTTCAGAATGTGATGTGCACACCACGCTGTCTACTAAAGTTTGAAATCATGTTTTTAGTCCAATAGCTGGACTGGAAAAAATCTCCAAAGCAGATATTTTTTTTCTTAATTTTTATCTAAAAATGAGCTAAGAATTGCTAAAAATTAGAATTTATTTTTTAAAACACAACAATTCACACTTAGGCTGACAATTTAGCTTTTTTTTTCTTCTTTTCCTTAAATGTTGCGTTTACGTTACTATTAAGAAAATAAACTACAGATTTATATATATAAAAAAATAATAATCATTATAAATCTGTATATGCATAGTTTATAAGCTTTAACTTGAGTTTCTATAGTTAGACTTGAGCAGAGGTGAGAAAGTCATTTTGCTGCAAATATGCTATAGGCAATGCAAGATTTTGCTTATGAGTTGATTTTTGGAGTACCAGTGCAAAGGCAATTATGTAAAGAATGTGTCATGAGTCTTTAAAGATCAGCAGAGCTAGAATGCAAAGGAAAGAATATATCTACCTGTATTCTTATATTTGCCTTAAAAAGGTTTTTTTTTTTCTGAAATGGAATCTCCTCCAATGTAGTCATCTCAAACAAATGTAATACATTCCATTGGCTATACATACCTTGGATTAATTAGATGATTATTGGGATCATGGAGACCCAGGTGACACAGGTCACAAGCTGTGTGTGTGCCTCTAAATGGGAGCTGTGTGCTTGCTTGTCAAAACCACTTGGTTGTGAATGAGATACAGATGAGGATGCTGGTGTCTTATGTGTGACAAAGGGAACTGGTTGTGTGGGAGGCCCAGATGGGAGCTGGGTGTGTTACAATGACAGGGTTGGGTTTGTGTGTGTTTGTGTCCCACAGAGTGAGCCTGTCACTGGTGCAGGTTCATTTGAGTGCATGTGTGTAGTCTTGTGTGTGTAGCTGCCTTTGTTGATATAATAGGAGTTTGCAGCACAGGTGCACAGGCTGACACAGAGTGCTTGTGACAGTGTAGATAAAACTGTGTGTCAGTGAGCGATCTTGATAGTGCAGTGTGTGTGTGACTGAGATACAGTTGCAGGAATGCATCCTGGGAGCTCTTGTTTAAAAAACATGGAGCTAAAATGTGTGTGTAATCAATGTGTTGGGAAACTAGGGTAAGCCACTCTTATCTTTCCCTTTGACCCAGTCATTCTAGGAAGCACAGCAGGCAGCTCATTAACCCCCTGCTAACTCAACACAAAATGCACTCAATGTGGTATCATGCAGGGGAGAAAATTGCTTTTTTTTTTGTTTGAAGATGTAGCTGGGAAACTGATTTAGAAAATGTACCGCTCTTCAGTGTCACACTGTGACTGGATGCAGACTCCATACAAGCATTTATTCCTTATCCTGAGGTCTGTTACAAAACTGGAGTCTCTTTTATTATAATTATTATTATCTGCATTCATATAGCGCCAACATAATCCGTAGCGCTTTACAATATTATTAGAAGGGGGGATTTAACTTCTTCGCTGTTCTTAGGTTCACTGGGAACAATTATGTTTTGGGGTAAATGTTGGCTATAGGACAGTATGGCGACTTTAAATTGACTTATTCCAAAATATAGTTAATCCTGTAGAACACAGGATGCCCTGAGATATTCACATCTTCTATTAACACCTTAATGTCTCTCTAACATATGGAAAGCGGGGGAGAGGTCCTTTACTGAACATTATTGTGCTAATTGGGACACACCATATGGGTCAGGCTCCAGTGTCCTCTATTCACATTCAAAGTATCTTGGGATTCCATTCAGAGCCAGGAATCCCACTGAGCAAAATGGCCGCTAGTCTCAGTCTATTTTAGCCAAAAGGTTATAGAGAATGATCTCACAGTTTAGTGGGCATGGTGAGGTAATGAGAGACAGTGTTATTTTTCTCTCTCTCATCTCCTCTAAATGTTCAAGCTAATGTAGAGGTAACAGTCCACTACTTCTGTGTTAAACTGTTCAAAAACAAATCTTTGCGAAATTGTTCTAACGATTGTATTAGAATGTCACTGAAATTCCAATGCAGTCAAAATATATCATAAGGCAAAGTAGGATCTACATTGTCACATGTACTTTTTTTAAGGCAAACTTTCTTTTAAGGCCAATTGGTTAATTTTTTGTACAGCTCGGCCATAGGCAGTTCAGCTTCTCTCCTCGATGAGGTCCCAGTATGGGTCTTGGATTTTCGCCCCATTCATTTACACTGGGAAAACAAGAAAATTATGCAGAGGTGCTCTACTCGTCTGTATCAGCGAGGCAATCATGATGTACTCACCTGAGATGTATGCCTTGATGAGGCAGGTAATCTTGAACTTTAATGGTCATTGGAGTGATATTATAAACCTCTTATTTAAATATGTGTGGAGATTTGGGTTAGTGCGCAGTAAACCATTTTTTTTTCTTTTGTTCCATGTATTTGGGCTGATATATACTGTAGCCATTGCTGTTGCCCAAGAGTAGTGGGAGTTTCAGTGCAGGAATTTTATTTATTTGTATTTGCATTTGTATTACACCTCCATGTTACATTATACCCCAAGTGTGTCCTATTAAGGGTTAATACGTGTGTAGGTGTTTATAAAAAAAAAAAAAAAAATACCCCTTTCTGTCCCATTAAAGATTTTGCCTTTTAGCTAAAAGCAGCAAGGTGAATTGTTGGTGTAGAACTCACCTAAGGGGTTTACCTTGATAGGGTTGGTGAGCTAATGGTCATTGGAGTGATACTAAAACCCTCCTGTTATTTAAATATGCATACGGATTTGGGATAGCGTGCAGGTAACCTTTTTTAGGTCATGGTGGGTGATTTTTGCTACATTAATCTAGTAATAACAGAGTGTTAATATGGCAGGTGGTTTATAACAATTTATCCTATGATTATTTTATTAAACAAGAATTACCTTCACATCCCCACATTGGGCACTGAATCGTAATAAAAATGAGGAACAATGGAATATATATTTTTCAATATCCTATCTACATAGTAGTTCCAAATGTGATCTCAGCAAAGAATAAGATAGATCCGGTTTTACTAGAGTTGAAGAAATGGCTGTATTATCGAGTTTGCCAAAAATCTATTAATCATCTTGCAAGTGTTTAATATGCGTGCTTTGCTCAATACATATCAGAGGACGCGGTCTTTCTCGCTCATTATAAAAGAGAGAAAAAATTATAAACCAGTTATTCCTAATTCATCATGTTGGAGGTATCATACCTCCCAAATTTTCAAATAGACAGTATAATTTTAGAGATGTAACTAGGGGTGTAGCTGTTCTGAGAAACTTTAGTTGACTTACTAATTACAATGTATGCAACAAGAGCAATGTATCTTATTTGTGCAATCTGATTTCTAAACACATTATTATAGTTTAAATCAGGGTTTCCCAATTAATTTTTCCCCTGGAACCCTTTGACATGGTATAGCAAAACTTTGGAACCCCAACAAAAAAATGTGTGTCATAGAGTAGCGCAGCGCAGCACAAACCTTTCAATGAGCAGAGTATAATGTTCTCTTTTGCGGGCAAATTCTCTTTATATATGATTTAATTGTTGACAATTGAATTTGAATGTCTGCAGTTGCGTCAAGTCGATTTTGACACTTTGTTTTTGTTGCAGAGTAAATGGAGAATCCAGTTTCACATAAGTATGTGCTGTCAAATGGCAACAGAACTTTGACTGCCCACTTGGACAATTATGGGTATTCTTCGCTAAAATCACCCCAAAAAGCAATAAGAAACTTCTTTAAATATTTGGCTTAGTTGACTGTCAGAAGTTATATCAATCAGATTCTCAAAATCTACACCAGAAAAATTGGCTGGCTTGTCCTTTATCAATGGATTTCTAACCCAGTCATTATTGTTTTCATTCAAAAATGTAAAATACTGATTAATAGATGTGATTAAATGGCGAAGATGATCTACAATTTCATTGTGAATTTCATCTTCAAGTTCAATTTCTGATTCTTCAAGAAAATCCTTAAGTGTTGGCAAAGAGTTCAAATTATTTTGCTCAACAGATGAGGTCCAAAACTGCACCTTACGAGACAGTGAAAATATTTTATCTCTTGCATTAAAAATATTAGTGTTTTTTCCTTGGAGTGATAAACATAAGTCATTTAATTTTGTGAATATGTCTGCAAGATATGCTACTTTGGATAACCACAGAGTGTTTGTTAATCGGACAGATAATCCAAATTTACGATCCTGGAAATATACAAACAACTCTTGGCGCAATTCAAACATTCTAACAAGGACTTTATGTCGTGATAGCCAACGGACTTCTGAATGCAAAAGCAGAGCAGAGTGGTGACTACCCATACCTTCACATATCATTTTAAATAGTCGTGACTGTAACAGTCGACTTTTTCTAAAATTAATAATCTGGACCGATTCGTCTAACACAGTTTTAAGTGAGATTTAAATATTTTTAGCTCCCAGTGCATGTCTGTGAAGAACACAGTGAGAACTGGTGCTGTTTTTTGCTACATTTCTTAATTGTGTCACAGCACCTCTCACTTTCCCAACCATTGTTTCGGCACCATCACTACACACATCTACACATTTGTCCCAATTTATACTGTGTGTGCTCATGAACTTCTGGATACAGTTAAAGATGTTCTCACACAGAAGCAAGACTTCTTCAATCTGTTTGTCAAAATTATATCTAACAAAATCGAAAGTCCTGCAACATCTGTGGACTCGTCTAATTGCAGCGAGTACCCATCAGATTGATGCAATTGAGAAATTAGTTCAGTATGGATGTCATCAGCAAGATCATGAATATGGAGCAAAACTGTGTTGTTGGAAAGTGGCACAGCTTACATTTTTTTACTCAACTTCTCACTTAAAATACATGACACGATTTCTTTTGCACAAGTGATTCTCCAATTATGTGTGCTTCTCCTACAAGTGCTGTGCGGTAACTCAATCTGTAACAACCCTCTATGGCTTTTTCATTAGCATTTAAAAATTATTTGCTCATAACTTCTTTAGCTTTCGCCAAAAAAAGTCAATGTCTTTATCTTTGTACTCTGAGTGGTTTTGCTCAAAATGACGATGTAATTTAGCAGGTGCTTATTAACTGGCAATATTTTATTGCAAAGTACGCATTGTACTTCAGGACAATCTTAATTTCTGGCACTTGTGAATCCAAATGACAAGTAGCTATCATCATATTTTATTTTCTTTATTTGAGAAGAAGATTGGCTAGCATTGTGTGCTTTTATTTTATTTTTTTTTATTTTTTTTGACTTGTCACTTGTCTCTGCTATTTGAGGAACAGTAGATAAAACTATTTCGGGCAAGTTTTCTGGATTTTTAGTTGTATCTTTTTTCTCAGTTTCTATAAGTGCCGAACAGGTAGAAGTAGTAAACATTTTTCTCTGAAGAGTTCCCTGCTTTAACCAGCTTTCCAAATTCATGGTTGTTTATTGGTTAAAAAAAAAAACACTTTGAAAAATACAGATCTCACAACCTGACAGAAAAGGATGCTGATTTTAATAACACTCTTAGAAAGAACTGAACTTAAGCAGTATTTTTTAGAGTTAGACATGGTGCAAAAAGATTTGAACACTGTGAAAAATACAGTTAACTAATTTTTGCCCCTCACAGAGTCATTCAATGCCCCTCACATAGTCATTCAATGCCCCTGACAGAGCCTTTTAATGTCCCTTACAGAGCCTTTTAATGTCCCTAACAGAGTCTTTCAATGCCCCCGACAGAGCCTTTTAATGTCCCTAGCAGAGAATTTCAATGCCCCTGACAGAGCATTTTAATGTCCCTTACAGTACCTTTTAATGTCCCTAGCAGAGAATTTTAATGCTCATGACAGAGCCTTTTAATGCTCCTTACCAATCCTTTTAATTTTCCTAGCAGAGAATTTGAACACTGTGAAAAATACAGTTAACTGATTTTTGCCCCTCACAGAGTCATTCAATGCCCCTCACATAGTCATTCAATGCCCCTGACAGAGCCTTTTAATGTCCCTTACAGAGCCTTTTAATGTCCCTAACAGAGTCTTTCAATGCCCCCGACAGAGCCTTTTAATGTCCCTAGCAGAGAATTTCAATGCCCCTGACAGAGTCTTTCAATGCCCCTGACAGAACCTTTTAATGTCCCTAACAGAGAATTTCAATGCCCCTGACAGTCTTTCAATGCCCCTGACAGAGCCTTTTAATGTCCCTTATAGAGCCTTTCAATGTCCCTAGCAGAAAATTTCAATGCCCCTGACAGAGCCTTTCGATGACCCTGACAGAGCCTTTTAATGTCCCTTACAGAGCCTTTCAATGCCTCTCAAAGAGTCTTTCAAGGCCCCTAACAGAGAATTTCAATGTCCCTACCTAACAGAGATTTCTATGTCCCTACCTAACAGAGCTTTCTATCTGACAATAACAGAGCTTTAATTATCATCTCCACTCTCTATCACTACTCTACCACGAGTGATAAAAAAGACTGATGGCAGGGCTGGTTAGCTGACTGCTGGGCAAGCTGGCTGACGGCTGGGTGGGCTCTCTCACGGACAAGCTAAGTCTAAGTTGCTGGACGCTAGGGCGAGCTCTAATGGCAAGGCGTGCTGATGGAGTGGCGGCCATCTTGAATGTGGCGAAATGCAGCAGAACCCCAATTTTGTTCTCTAGGGTTCTGTGGAACACCAATTGGGAAACGCTGGTTTAGAGAGACATTACAGAGCTGAAGGCTGCTGGAGGAAGTCATGCACCCAGTCGGACTTCCTCCACTACAAATTTATGTTGCGTACATACATCACAGCCTTACCCTTGCCAAAGAGTCATACTTTTTCTCCTTCATTAGCTCATACCCCCACAATCCCAGGTCTTTTTAA